CCCGGGTCCCTCCAGCCCCCTTTCTCCTGCCTCCTGCCCGGCTCTGCGCGCGCCTCCCTTCCCCGGGTCCCTCCAGCCCCCTTTCTCCTGCCCCCTGCCCGGCTCTGCGCGCGCCTCCCTTCCCCGGGTCCCTCCAGCCCCCTTTCTCCTGCCCCCTGCCCGGCTCTGCGCGCGCCTCCCTCGCCCGGGTCCCCTCCAGCCCCCTTTCTCCTGCCTCCTCTCCTCGCAGGTAGGATCGTCTGTGGGACCCGAGCGCGGGCGGGCGTGGCCCCGGGACCATGTCCGGGGTCGAACACGAGCCCTTCCTCAGCCAGGCGGATGACACGGCCGACGGGCCGGTGCCCGGCACCCCGGGATTACCGGGGTCCATGGGGAACCCGAAGTCCGAGGATCCCGAGGTCCCGGACCGGGAGGAGCTGCAGCGCATCACGGGCTTGTCCGCGGGCCACTCGGCTCTCATAGTGGCCGTGCTGTGCTACATCAACCTCCTCAACTACATGGACCGCTTCACGGTGGCTGGTACTGGCTCCTGGGAGGAGGTTGACAGGGGAAGGGAGCGGGGTCCCGAAGGTGGAGCTGCCTCGCCGAGCCCATGCTGTCTTCTTCCCAGGCGTCCTTCCAGACATCGAGCAGTTCTTCGACATCGGAGACAGTAGCTCGGGCCTCATCCAGACCGGTGAGCGAAGGCCCCTCCTGGGAACACAGCAGCGATTTTCCCTTTTCTTACCCTGGGGGTGGGGCACATGCTGGCGCGCCTGGGGCTTCATTGATGGAGGAACAGTGACCAGAGGTAGGGGAAGGGGGGCCGGGATTCTGCTCTGAAGTTGTTCTGGTTAGTTAGCACCTCAGTCCAAGAGAGAGCCGGTTAAGTGTAATGGTTAAGACAGACCTGGGTTTAAATCTCCGCATCTACTCACCGTGCGGTGGTAGGCAAGGCCCTCAACCTCTTTTTCCTTGCGGGTGAGATGGAACTAGTAATACCCCAGGTCACCTCCCAGGGCTGATGTGAGGGTTGAATGAGATAAGGCTTGTGAAGTGTGTGGTGCGGTGCTGAGAACATGGTAGGCACCCAGTAAATAATGGCAGAAGGGGTCCGAAATGGGGAGAGGTGAGTTTTACCTGTTCAGAACTTTGGGACTTGTGAGAGAGGGAAAGACAGGGTCAAATCCTCTTTTCCTTCCTTCCCTCCTTCATTCATTTCTTAAGTGTGTCTGAGCACCTACTGTGTGCCAGGCTCTGGAGGAAGTGGTGATAACAGCCACAGAACTTGTCCAAGACCTGTTATGCCCATTGTCTTCAAATCCTTCCATCAGCCAAGGATTTATTCTTTTTTTTTATAGAGGAAGTAGTATTACCTACATTTTTATAAAGAAACTGAGGCTTGGAGAAGAGTTAAGACTTGCCTAGGGTCACACAAGTTAGAGACAGAAGAGGAGTTTGAGTCCAGGTGTTGCAATGTCCTTTGCTCCAGTCCAGGCCGATAAGGAACTGGAAGTACTTAAGGCAATGTCTAGAGAAGTGAGGATGGAATCATAGGTCATGGTCTGCAAAACCCTAAAGAATTAGTGAATTAGGGAAGAAGCAAGTCTTTCTCGGTGGCCCCACTCACTTTTTCATGCAGCAAATGTTTAGTGAGCGCCTTTTATGCTAGGCCATGTGTTAACTAATGGAAACAGTCATGGCCAATACAGGCAAAGTCACTGCGTTCATGGAGCTGACATTCTGCTGTGCCTGAGGGGGTAACAGTCCATAAAAACCTAAACTGATGAGATAATTTTCCATGGGGATAAGTGTCATGTAAAAGAGCACAGTAAATGGGGTAGACACTGCATGTGTGGTGGTTGGAAAAGTGTCTGAGCTGGAACTCAAACTTGCTAAAGCTCTGTGAAGCTCAGGGGAGAGGAGGGAATGTTCCAGATGGGACAGCAGTTGCCCAAAACCCTAAGATGGTATTGAGCTTGGCCGTTGGGCCACTGGGGTGCAGAGGAAGGAAAGGATGAGCATGAAGTTGGAGAGGTAGGGAGGGGTTAGAGCAGACAGCGCAGTGTGGGCTGTGGCATGGAGTTTGGATTTTGTTCTTGGCTCCGATGGAAGGAAGTGATGAGTCAGCTGCGCTATCCAGACTACAATGGAAGGTTTGAAAGACGTTGAAAATGAGGTTGGACTCCCCCTGGCAGGAACCTCTGACAATTTCAGGGTTGGGAGTTATTCCTGCCCCCCCTCGCCCTCCCTGAGCTGGGGTGGGGTAGGGGTACTGGGGCTGGGCTGTGACTCTCTGCTTCCCCTCAGTGTTCATCTCCAGTTACATGGTGTTGGCACCTGTGTTTGGCTACCTGGGTGACAGGTACAATCGGAAGTATCTCATGTGCGGGGGCATTGCCTTCTGGTCCCTGGTGACACTGGGGTCGTCCTTCATCCCCAGAGAGGTGAGGCCCCACGATGGCTCCTGCTTCCAGCCCCCCCACTCCCCCATCAGTCTTTGCTTCTGCCCTTTGGAGCCATGGCAGACTGGGCCTGGGGAACTTCTGCATCTTCCTTGGTCCTGCCATCTTACCCCCTGCTTGCCTGAGTTAATCTGCCCGCCCTGTCCTTCCCCATTTTCCTTCAGAACCTTCTCTCCACCATCCCCACTCCCCACCCCGACCATGACTCCTTCCACTCAACACCCACACAGTCGCGTTTCTCTCTCTGCCACGGAAAAGGCCTCACCTAGGCTGCCCTCTGTCCCCCTTCCCCTTCCTGGTCACACTTCCTGAAGGCCCTTGACCGAGCTGCAGTCGGTGAAGGAGCAGCCAGGAGAGCCGCTCACTCTGCCTGAAGTTCCTCTTCTACTTGCCCCTTGAGCGCTGCCGGGGAGCGGCCCCCCTACTCCACTGCCAAAGTCAACAGTGACCTCCTGGCTGCTAAATGTAGCTCCTACTCCCTGCCCCTTGTCTCCTGATCTCCTGGGAGCCTCTGGCTCTGTGACCCACTTCTTCCTTCTGGAAATTCTTCTCACCTCTGTGATGCCATTCTTTTGGTTTTCCTCCTGCTTCCCTGGCTGTTGATTCTTTGATCCTTTAAAATCTCTGTCTGTTCTCCTCTCTGCCCCAGAACCCTGTCCTCAGCTCCAGGCACTCAGTACACACTCTCCTTGGGTGATTGCACCCTGTCCCTAGCTTTGAGGGTCTTTGGTAGACAAATGAAACCCCACCTAAGATCATTACTCACCATTGGGTGGGGTAGGCAAGATAGAAATGAAGATTTATTTTGCACTTCCTGGGCACAAGATAATGGACTTTTATTATCCAATCCTCACAATAGTTATGCGAAAAAGTTGTTATTGCCCCCCCTTTTTCAGATTAGGAAACTGAGGGTCAGAGAGGTTAAGTTGCTTTCTCAAAGTCACAGCCAGTAAGTAGGGGAGCCAGGATTCAAGCTCAGGTCTGTCTGATTCTAAAACCCTGGCCTCTCCCAACATCCCTGCCACCTCTCCAGAACTGGCTGGAGAGGTAGGCTGGGAGGCTGGCTGTAGGGTGGGGTACCACCCCCACCCCCGTCTCCTTCCCCAGCAATTCTGGCTGCTCCTCCTGACTCGGGGCCTGGTGGGGGTCGGGGAGGCCAGTTACTCCACCATCGCACCCACCCTCATCGCTGACCTCTTCGTGGCAGACCAGCGGAGTCGGATGCTCAGCGTGTTCTACTTTGCCATCCCAGTGGGCAGGTGAGTGGGCCTTGGGCCTGCCTGTTGGGGAGACAGAAGGGCCTGGCATTGTGCATGACTGACCAGCTGTCCCTTCTTCTTTCCCACCCCTTTTCCCCAGTGGTCTGGGTTACATTGCAGGCTCCAAAGTGAAGGATGTGGCTGGGGACTGGCACTGGGCTCTGAGGGTGAGTCTGGTCACGCCTGGGGGAAGGTCAGCAGCATTATCACTGATTCTCCCTTTTTACCTTCAGACACCCCATTTTAAGGCAGCGTTTACTCTGCCAAGCTTTTAGGAATCCTGGCTGTTCTCACCACAAAGCCATGTGCTAGACAGAACTCTTGGTTGCAGGTGACAGAAGCCCACTGTAAAAGTATAAGCCCCTAATGGGACTGTATTGGCTCTCATAATGAAAGCCCCAGGGTGAGCTTCAGGTAAAGCTGGATCCAGGACTCCCACAGTCACAGGAATTTGATCACCCTTTTCTTAAGCCCTGCTTTCCTCTGTGCTACTTTTATTCTCAAGCAAGTGAAAACTCCACACGATTATCTTCCCACTTAGAAACTTTGGCAGCCTGGTTCCTTGAGCAATAGTCCTGGATGGTATCCGATTAGGTGAACATGGATCAGTCTCATGCCTGCCACTGATTGAATCAGTCACCAAGGGTGGGGAAGTTAACACTACTCTTGTTGGCCAAGTCTGGGTTGCAAACCGTGCCCTATTTGAACCATGTGAATTGAGAGAAATGGGGGGAGTGGTTTCCCATAAAGAAAATTAGAGTGCTGTTACCAAAGAGGGAGCAATTAGGCTTGCAGAAATGGGAGTGGCCCCTAGTGGCACTTGCCCCTCCCCCCAGTTGCAGGTTTAGCTTCCTTAAGCAGCCACTTAGGGGCGTTTGAGGTCTTGGCGCCTGAGTTGCCTTCACACACCTTCCCTTTTTCCCAGTCCCAGGGGTTGATTGTGTCTCTGCCTCTGCCTGTCCTGAAGCCCACTCTTTTTCCAGGTGACACCAGGGCTAGGAGTGGTGGCTGTGCTGCTGCTGTTCCTGGTAGTACGGGAGCCACCAAGGGGAGCTGTGGAGCGCCACTCAGGCTCACCACCCCTGAACCCCACCTCATGGTGGGCAGACCTAAGGGCTTTGGCAAGAAAGTGAGTTAAATTCCATCCTAACCCAACATCTTAGATTTCCAGGGAGGCCCTGACAACTGGGTTGAAATTTACATGGGGGTGGTCTTTGTTTTCTGTGTTTTTATTTTAATTTTAGTTTTTTATTGATTTTAGACAGAGGGGGGGAAAGAGAGAGTGAGAGAAATAAACATGGATTTGTTGTTCCACTTATTTACTGCATTCATTGGTGCTTTTTGTATGTGCCCTGACTGGAGATGGAACCCTGTAACTGCGGGATGGGGAAGGCACTCTCGCCTGGCTGCGTTTATTTTCTTGGGCCAATGTCAGGGCCAGTAATTCATTCACTGCTGCCCCCTTGTGGCAGCTGCTTGAATTACAGATCCAGATCCTGAGAGCCAGGACAGCCTCTACACCTAGTGCCCTGACCTTATAAAAAAACCAGGAGGCCCAGCTGCCGGTGTGGCTCAGCGGTTGAGCATCAACCTATTATCCAGGAGATCGCAGTTCAATTCCTGGTCGGGCCACATGCCCGGGTTTCAGGCTCAGTCCCCAGTAGGGGACGTGCAGGAGTCTGTTCAGTGACTCATCATTGATGTTTCTCTCTCTCTCTCTCTCCCCCTCTCTCCCTTTCTCCCTCTCCTCCCCCTCCCTCCCTCTCCCTTTCTCTCTCTGAAATTGATAAAGACATATTAAATAAGTAAATAAATAAATAAATAAATAAGCCAGCAAGGGAGAACAGAGGCCCCTACCTTGGCATATCAGTGGAGTCTGACTTCCTCCCTTCCAACTGTCTTTGCAGCCCTAGTTTCATCCTGTCGTCCCTTGGCTTCACTGCTGTGGCCTTTGTCACGGGCTCCTTGGCTCTTTGGGCTCCTGCATTCTTGCTGCGCTCCCGTGTGGTCTTGGGAGAGACCCCACCCTGTCTTCCTGGAGACTCTTGCTCTTCTTCTGACAGGTACCTGGGTAGGGGTTGGGTTGGATGTCCTGCAGGTGGCAGGGGATGGAGGGGTGAGAGTATGATTCAGACTCAGACAAGGAGAGTTGGAATCCCAACTCCACAAGCTATTTTCCTCTCCCAGAGTTTCAGTTTCCTGGTCTGGGAAGTAGGTGGTGGGGACTTTGTAAACCATGGGGTGTTGTGCCTGGATAGACTTGGGTTGTGAGGGTGGCTGGGAGGGACCATCTTCCTCTCCAAGCCATAGGGGCGAGGCTAGGGGGCTTTGCAGGGGGACGGACTAGTCCTTATGCCCCTCCCCTTGCCCCCAGCCTCATTTTTGGGCTCATCACCTGCCTGACCGGGGTCCTGGGTGTGGGCCTGGGAGTGGAGATCAGCCGCCGCCTCCGCCACGCCAACCCCCGGGCTGACCCTCTGGTTTGTGCTGCTGGCCTCCTGGGCTCTGCACCCTTCCTCTTCCTGTCTGTGGCTTGTGCCCGTGGTAGCATCGTGGCCACTTATGTGAGTAGCCAGCAGGTATCAAGGAGGGCTGTTTTGGGTCCAGGGGGAGGAATGGTGTACTGGGGCAGGACTGGGGTCAACCAGCGTAGTGGTTCAGAGCCAGCTCTGGAGTGGGAATGCCTAGTTTGAATCTCAGGTCTTGCCCTTCCTAACTGTGTGGCTTTGGGCAAGTGACTTAACCTCTCTGTGCTGTTTCACCATCTATAAAAAGGGAATAATAATAGCTCCTGTCTCATAGAGGTGTTGTGAAGACTAAATGAGTTAATAGATGGGCCTCCGTGTGTTTGCTCTTGTGATGAGATCAACCCTGCTCTGCCTCCCCTCGGTCCCCCAGGTTTTCATCTTTATTGGAGAGACACTGTTGTCCATGAACTGGGCCATTGTGGCTGATATTCTGCTGGTGAGTCGGTGGGCCATTCCAGAGTTGGTCCAGAGGCTGCTGGGAGCAGGGAAGGGTGTGGGGAGCCTCACTTGCCTTGAATTGTGGCCTTTACCCCTTCTTTAAAACCCGCCCGAGTGACTTCAGCGTCCAACCCCAGATCATCTTATAGTCCTGCCTTCCCTACCCTTTACCCTAGTCACACCTCTGAGCTGGGGTTCACCTCTGACCTCAGCCTTGGCCCCATTTCTGCCCTCTCTCCTGCCCCTCCTCCCCCAGTATGTGGTGATCCCTACGAGGCGCTCCACTGCGGAGGCCTTCCAGATTGTGCTGGCCCACCTGCTGGGTGATGCTGGGAGCCCCTACCTCATTGGCCTGGTGAGCACTGCCCTTTTGCTGGGCCTGGGGTGGGATCGGGGCACCCTTTGTCCTGACACTGGCTGGTGGGCAGTGGCCGGAGCCTGGCTGAATTGGCCCCAGCTAGGTCCATGTCATCTGTGCCAGGCACTCCTCACCTCCGATCCTCAGCTAGCTGGGAAGGATTTTGTCTGCAAGTTTCCACATGAGACCATGGACCTCTCCCTGGAGGTCTAGACACCCTTCCTTTCCCGGCTTGTCTTTGTTTTCCTGGAATTTGGGGCACCCTTTCCCCGTGCCCTCTCCAAGACTCTCTCCTGCTTTTCCTTTCCCTTCTCCCCACAGATCTCCGACCGCCTCCGCCGGAGCTGGCCCCCCTCCTTCTTGTCCGAGTTCCGGGCCCTGCAGTTCTCGCTCATGCTCTGCGCCTTTGTCGGGGCCCTGGGTGGTGCCGCCTTCTTGGGTACCGCCATCTTCATTGAGGGTGACCGCCGGCGGGCCCAGCTGCATGTGCAAGGTCAGTGGGGCCGTCCCTCTGTTCGTGCACAGCTCACTGCCCAACTTCATGATACTGCCTGTTTGTCCATGTGTCTAGCCTTGTGTACCTGGCATCTCTCAGTCCACAGCTGTCCCTTCATCCGGCTTTGGGTCTGTCTGGCCAAAAAGCTGATGTCCCGCTGTCCATAGCTCTGGAGCCCCATCCATTTCCCACTGCCTGTTTGTCCCCTCCCAAGCTTTGTGTCTGTCTGCCCAGCCAACCCTGGCTCTGACCCCTCCCCACCAGGTCTACTGCATGAGGCAGGGCCCGAAGATGACCGTATCGTGGTGCCCCAGCGAGGCCGCTCCACCAGGGTCCCTGTGTCCAGTGTGCTCATCTGAAGGGCTGTCACTCGCCTACCTGCATACCTACCATAACTCTCAGGCGCACCCCAGCAGGCACCTGGGCCCAATCCCTTGGCCTGGCCCAGCTTCTAGGAGGAGCCTTGGGCCATGTTCCAGCTCCCACACTACATGGGCAGCCAAGGGCAGGCGGTGGGGGTCCAGGAGGGGATCCCCCTCCACTGGAGCAGCCCCAGGGGCTCGGTGCTATTTGTACTGAATAAAATTTGTAGCCAGACCCCAACTGCCTGCTGGAGTCTCTCTGGGTGCTTGTGACCACCAACCTCTAGAATGTAGGGGATGCCTCGCTCCAGCCTCAGCGCTCCTGGTGGCTGTTGGGTCACTCCTGTGGGCTCCTTGGCTGGGCGAAGGAGGGCGGAGTGAGCTGGCCTTATGTGACTGTGAGTCATGCCCGCTTCCCCTAGAACTGGCCTCCTGTGGAAGGCTGTCTGGGGTGAGGTGGGTGGGCCCTGTGCCCCTCTGAATTCCTTGCGTCAGCCTTCCTTGCTGCCTTGAGCGACAGCTGTGGAGGTCGCGGCTGCTGGCCGGCCTGAAATTGTCCTGTCCTTTTCCCACGGGTATGAGTTACCCCATGTCCTGGAGACCAGCAGGCCCTTCTTGAGGACCTGGGGGTGGCTCCTCAGGCCGCCTCCTCCCCTCCCCACTGGCTGGGTGGGGGTGGGAAAGGGGGTGGGTGCAGCCGGCTGAGGAGCCTGATGATTTCCTGCCCTCACCCGGCGCTCACCACAGCTTCCTGCCGCAGGCGGGAGGGCAGGCACTGAGGAAAGGCGGGCGCCAGGCAGGTAGGCCTGGGTGCGGGGTCCATGCAGGGGTGGCTGGTGCCCCGGACTCCAGCCCAGGCCCTGGCCTGACTGCCCCCGGATCAAGGGTCTTCCAGAGCCAGCACTGACCCCCCCTGAACCCCAGGAGGGGAAGGGATCCAGGGAGCCCTCAAGGAGGGTGCGGCTGCCCCTCACCAGGCTCCCAGCCTGGTGCCACTGGGCCCTATTCACCCCTGCCGCCCAGTCCTTACTCTGCTGCAGCTCCGTCCTGGGGGAGGGCAGGGGGTGTACAGCGAGCAGCGAGGCCTGGTCCAGCTCTGTCCTGCAGATGGAGGTGGCCGTCCCTCCCCCCTTGGTGCTGGGCGTCCTGCTGCTGCCCCTCTTGGCTGTGTTGCTGATGGCACTCTGTGTGCGTTGCCGAGAGCTGCCAGGTGAGTGGGAGTGGGTGGGATGACCAGATGCCTGGACACACGACAGGGATCCTAGACCACTCCCCAATTCCTCACTTCACCTAACTGTCCCTGTCCGTCCTGCGTGCGGAGCCACTGAGAGCCCCTGACTCCGTTAACTTCTCCCCTCGTCACTCCCTTTCCCTGCCTCACTGGCCTCCCCTTCCTGGCCTCTTCTGCAGACTCGTATGACAGTGCTGTCTCCGATAGGTGAGTCTGCCCCTTGACCAGTGTGGCTCCCTTAATGCCCTATGCGAGGCTGGGCCTGGGGCCTCTCCTGGTCACTTACCAAGCTGTGTCTCTCCTGCCAGTTTGCCAAGTAGCATCATGATCAAACGGCCTCGTGAGTACATGGAGGGTCCTCTCGCTTGGGGTAGGGAGGAGAGTTCCCTGGCATGTGAGCAAGTGTGTGCCTTTGTTCAGGTTGCCCCCTGTGGCTGTCCACATGGCCTTGACCTGAGCTGGGATGGGGGAGGATATGAGTGCCCTCAGGCCTGTCCAGGCACAGGGGTTTCAGGGGGTTAGGCTGCCTGTCGCAGCCTTGACGAGGGTAGGGGCATTGTGCCTGGAGTTATTCCTTCAGCTTGATCCTGTGTCCTTAGCTACGCTAGCCCCCTGGCCACAGGCTGCTCCCTACCCGCCTGTTACCTCCTATCCACCCTTGAGCCAGCCAGACCTGCTCCCCATACCGTAAGTAACCCCTTCCCCTCCAAGTCCCCTCCAAGTCCCTCTCTCTACCCCTCACCTCCTTGGATTGGGGGGCTTCTTTCCCTGTTGCAACCCCTCTTGCCCCAGAGCCCCATCCGAGGCATGACTTCTGACTTTTGACTTTCAGGAGATCCCCACAGCCCCCAGGGGGCTCCCACCGAATGCCGTCTTCTCGGCAGGACTCAGATGGCAGTAAGCTGGAGCGGGGCCCACGGGGCTGGGGCTGGGGCTGGGGCTGGCAGAGGATAAGCCCCATCTCCCCTGACTCAGTCTCCCTCTCACTCTCTCTCTGTAGACAACAGTGTGGCAAGCTATGAGAATGAGGGTGCGCCTGGGACCCCGGTGGCCTGGATGGGGGAGGCTGGGGCCTGGCCTGGGCTATGCTGACCCCCGTGTTATTCCCCCAGGACCAGCGTGTGAGGACGAAGAAGAAGATGAAGACGAGGAGGACTATCACAACGAGGGCTACTTGTGAGTGGCCACGTGGGAGGGTGGCGCTGAGGCCAGGGTCCGAGCTCACCCTTCCCTTGACTTTCCCTCAGGGAGGTGCTTCCTGACACCGTCCCGGCCCCGTGCACCACTGTCCCAGCAGCTGCTGTGCCCAGCAACCCCGGCCTCCGAGACAGCGCCTTCTCCAGTGAGTTGCCTTTCTGACCGCTCCAGCCCCTCTGCTCGTCTCTCTCCTCTTGTTTCTTTGATGCTTGCTTCCCCTCTGTTTTCTCTCTTTTCTGTTTCCAGATCTTTGTCCTTCAGATAGTGGGCTTCCTGCTCCCATCTTCTGATTTCCTTACTTTCTTCCTCCTCTTTCCTGTCGCTTCGTCTCCTCCTTTTATTGTCTGTAAGATTTCCTTGTCTTTATTCTTCTTTGGCTCTGTCCCTTGACTCTTTTATTTTGTCTCTGAACGCTCTTTCTTGATTTCTGAATGTTCCTTTTTCATAGCTTCCTGTTCTTGTTTCATGGAGGCAACATCATATTATAAATCTCTAAGAATGTTGATTCGAAGTTGTCTTTTTCTGTCTTTGTTTTTTTGGAATTTTTCGTCTGCTTCCTGCATTGTCTCAGTTTCCTTTGAGCTGCTTCTCTCCCTTTGTTTTGGTCACTTCCTGCCTGTTAGGTGCTCCCTCAGCATCTGGTAATCTCAATGCTCTGTTACTCTCCTCTCTTTACGTACATGCCCTGGGCCATCACTTCCACACACTGGCTTCATTTGCCATCCAGACTCTCAACGTGTCACCTCTCTCCTTGGCTCCAGACCATCTGTCCAAGTGCTTCTTTTCATTCATTCACTTACTCATTTATGATATTTACTGGGTGCCTCTGATATAACAGCTAATGAGGTAGAGTCATGATAAAAGAGCTAACATTACTGAGGATCTACTATGTCCTACTAAGAGTGTTATGTGTATTCGCTTGTTAAACCTTATAGCCCTCAGGTGCTGTTGAGCCTGTCCCTTCCCTCCTGTACCTCAGTTGTCCCATCTGTGTGATGGCAGGGTATACTTATTTAACAGACACTTGGTAGCACTTAGTGCGTAATACTTACACTTTATGTTCACTGCTTTAGTCCTCACAGCATTCCCATGAGATGGGTAGTTACTCATCCTGTTTTACAGATGAGAAAACTGAGGCCCAGACAGGTTGGGCAGCTTATCTAAGGTTACATGGTTAGTTAGTGCTTGAGCTGTATTTGAACCTGGGCTGTCTGGCTCTAAAGCCTGTCTTGTCCGTGTCCTCGTAGAGAAATAAGTCAACATATAAAAGAACAAGACACCGTCAATGAGAGCATGTGCGTCGAAGGGACTAGGACAAAAGTGGGAGTCAGGGCAGGTCCGGCTGAAGAGGAGGGGCTAGCTGGGCCCATGGCCCCTCTGACCAGGCCCAGCCCTGAGTGTCATCCCCCCTCCACACATGCCACCAGCCCCACATTCTGAGCCGCTGTCCACTCTGAGCTGCTCTCCGTCTCTGCCCCCCAAGCCGGGGCTCTGCTGGTGTCTGCTGTCTCCTCTCACAGTTGCATCCCCTTTCATCAGCTCTGGTCAGATTGCCCTGTCCTTTGCCTTGCCATGTCTTTGCCCTCCAGGCCCCAGGCAGCGCTGGTCCAGAGCACCCTCTCTGCATCCCTCTGCGGCTGACTGTGCAGGAGTCTTAGGCTGGTTTTGTTGAAAGGCTTTGGTGGCCGTGGCTGGGAACTTCTGGGTGTCTGCTCAGGGGCTCTGGGGATCCATGCCTGGGGCTCTGGGTAACAGTGCTGGGGCTCCGATGGTTTTCCGCAGTGGAGTCGGGGGAAGATTATGTGAACGTTCCTGAAAGTGAGGAGAGTGCAGATGCGTCTCTGGGTGAGTAGCTGGTGCCCCCTGGTGCCCTCTTAGGGTCCACTTTCCCTTCCTTCCCCTCTCCTGCTACCCCATCCCCACTCTAGTGAGGCCATGCCCACACCCTTCTGTCTCTCTGTCACCCTCTGTCTGGGTGTCCTCCTGCCCTCTCACCCTCAGTGTGGCCTGCCCGCTTTTGGTGTGGCTGTCCCTCCTTCTGACCTGTCCCTGCAGATGGGAGCCGGGAATATGTGAACGTGTCCCAGGAACTGCAGCCCACTGCCAGGACTGAGCCTGGTATGTGCCGGGGGCGGGGCAGGAACTGGGGAGCTCCCTGGATGGGGGGAGAGTTTGCGAGCTGAAGATCAACCTCCCTTCCTGTCCTCCCCCCCCC